TTTGGGTGTGCAAAGCTTGGCAGCATTCTGTCAAGCAGGGTGTTGAATCAAATGTAGTCAAGAAATTAAAATGACCAAATAAACACTTTTGGCTTGAATGCAAACTGTGTTTCTGTTCCTGTCTGCATTCCCTAGTTTCTTCCTTGTCCAATAAAATTTATTGCCTTTGGAAAGGGCTCAACAGAACCACACCAATGTCCATTGTTATTTAAATGTATCTTCTTGCCGACAGGTGGGCAAGTAGGCAACAGTTTTGACTCAAAGATCAGGGAAAAAAAATTTGAATTCGGTGATTCTTTTCCTAACTTCCAATAATAATTAAAACAACAATAATTCCTTTAAGATTTAATGATCCCTCTCATCAGTGGAGGAGAACTGCTAAGGACAGTTACCACTGCTGCACTGCATGAATTCAGCATGATGCTGGTTGAGCTTGCATGTGTTGCACACATGCTGTGGGCAGCCACCCTCCTGCTGAAGCTTTGGTTGGCCTGCCACATCAACCTCTCCTGGGAAGATATCAACTTTTCATTCTTTTTATTGATTTATTTGACTGCAATGAAGATCTATTATCTTTGTTCTTTTTTACAGTCTCTCTCTCAAGTAGTTTTTGAATGGAATTTCTACTTTCTCCTACTTTAACAGTTCTCTCTAATTTCTTCTCCCTTCTGTCTTCTTCTAATCTGACTCCTAGTTTCACAGCTGTACAGACTACTTAAGAGCTGTCATATTCTTTTTCCTCTCTCCTTCTACTGCTTCAGGTTGAAGATCTTAGCTACAGATATGTAGGTTATGTTTTGGAGATTCCACAACAGCTCTTAAGGATCAGTGCACAAGTTGCTTTCACTGCTGTAAAACAGTATTTAATAACTACCCATAAAAACAAAGCTCTTCTAAAGATTCACGTCTTACCAGAAGACATCTTAATTTCATTTCTCAGGAATATGTCTATGTTCCCTTTCACTGTAATTTACTAAAGAAGGATTAATTTGAATTGCTTTCTATTTTATATATCTATTTTTATCTATAAATTATATACATATATCTATTCCTATATTGAAGTAACACATATATTACTACTCCGAAGTCATTCTAATGTAATACTGCATTAAAACAACGCATTGATAACTGAAAGTAATACTTAATACATTTTCAATTAATAGCTTGTCTGAAAATGGATCATTGTCAAAGAGGTGAAACCTTATTATTATTATTTCCTAATGATTGAACTAAAACGAATGAGTCAGGGCTTTGTTCCTCTGAGAAATCATCAAAAAAAAAGAAGCTTTCTTCACGTTTCAACCAAGGACATTAACATTTCTCTATGCTTGTGGGAAGGCTGCCCTTTTGGGGACATCCATTCCCCATATGTATATCTGAAACATCTGAAAACCTCTCTTTTCATTTAGCCTGAATAGGCATTTGTAGTCATGGGTATCAGGAATTCAACGATTTTGTTTTTCTTTGTCTTGGCCAACACTTTTCAAATGTGAGATGCTACAGTTTGGTTAAAGTACACACAAAGATTATGAAAAAAATACTCTTTCTTATAAGAGAAAACTGCTTAATTGTTTCATTAATATTAAAATGCTCACATAGATTTACTTTCTTATTCTGAGCTGGGACAGCCCTTCAAACTAACAGTGCTGGTCTATTGCTATTATGCTGTCAGGTTAAAAAAAAAGAAGTAAAAAGAAAAAAAAGGTTTCAATTTAACTACTTCTTGGCTTTTTTACCTTATAATTATAGATTTATTATGGCTTTTAATCTCACTTTTAATGTGTTTTTTATTGTTAAGGATGATAGATCCAAGAGGATTTTTGGATTTGAGGTGACTCCTTTGGGAGTAACCTATATAAGAACTGCTGGATGCAGCAGATAAGCTTGACACTTCTGAGAAGCAATCTATGTGTGGCTTTTGATGGGATTATGTCATTAGTGTCTCCAACCATCACCACCCAGGGACAGTATGAGCTCACAGTTTGCTCAGTGTTCTTGACCCTACCCTGGTAGTGTGTTTCTATTTGGTTTCTTGCTGAGGCAGTGGGAAAAGGCACTGATGAGATTCCTTGGCCTGAAGTATCGCTGAGAGGTCACAGGCAAATTCCCAAGTGAGGTTTTCATCGTACAAGTCAGTCTGCGCTTTGGTGTCTGTACGTGAAGACACACACCCAGGAAACTTTGCTAACATTTTGGCTTGCATTGGTCATGTCGTGTGATGAAGAGAAACTCATATACGACAACCAACTTCCCCCTATCATGGCAGGCAGGAGAGGTATCTGCAAGTGCACACAGTCTGTGAGGTGTCTGGTGACCACATCTAGGCTCTTGGACCTGTCCCTGCTTTGTCATAAGTAGACAGCTTTTTGCAAGGGAAGCAGTAATTGTGTCCCAACTAAGTACCTGTCTGGGTGAATCTAATATGTCAGGAGTATGTATCTGTCCCACGCTCCTGTGTCAGCTCTGCACTTCCAAGAATCAGCCTTGGAGGATCTCAGGATTCCTTAATTGTCTACTCTAATGAAATCTCAAGCCTGAGGTGTAGTCTTATGGGTCATGGGACTTGTTCTGGCATATTGAAGAAAGTTTCACCAGGTGTTCAAATTTCAGATTTTTGTCTATAGGCCTGGGACTTTAAAATTTTTGTTTTATCTATGTGTGTTTATTACGTTGGTATAAACAACATCCAAAGCTACCTCTGTTTTTGGTACTGCCTTAGCAAACAGAGTGTCATGAGATTAAGTATTGTTAATATGTCCCAGTCTCTAGACCTCATAATCAGCCTAATCAGGCTAGCTGTGCCTTGCAACAATTTAGGAGAATCTTCTCTTGCCAAGCTTGGTATTAGCAGCTGGAGACAGCCCACAGAAAAATACCAGTGAAGAAGGCTTCTCAGGATATCATGAAAAATACATTCATAGGAGTGTCCTGAGCTTTCTGAAGATGGAAATTTTGCATTGACATGTTTTTTTTCCCAGGGAAATAACCAATTTTGTAAAAAAATTCTCATGGGGAAATTTTTATTTTCAGTTTCTCGTTTCCTGGATGATAGCCACAAATTCCAGAAATGGAAATCTGCCTTTGAACTAAGTAAGGAAGCTGTATGCGTGGATACCAGCTGTTGACCTGCGTCTGTCGGATTTAATATATTTTCATAGTCAGTAGGGGAAGTGTCAAACCTGGAACATCAAAATAAAATATGTGCCCAGATTACAATGTACAGTCTTTGCCGAATGTCCGATAACAATCTTCCCAATTCATTTGGTCCAGTGCTTGAAACTCATAACAAATTAAGCAAAACCTTAGTCTTTTGTCACTGAAGACCACAAACTGCATCTTATCACTATCTGAAAATGGAAATTGTATATGCCTGTGTGTGGTCTACCCCTTATTCACCAACTTCCTCTCTATGGAGATACTTTTTTTGATTAGGTTTAAGTAGAAGGAAAACCTTGTGTGTGGTATTGGCAATTTTAGTAATTGACTGAATGACTTGTGAGCTTGTGGGCATGGATTTACCCGAACTTCAGCTTCTGGACATTTTTTAGGAACTGTTGTAAAGAACCCACCATATTGACATTTTTATGTCTGCTACTGTCTCCATCAATTCTTGTTCAGAATCTGTATGTGCTGTCTACTCCTCAACCTTGGTTTAAGGATTTAGATTTATTTAGTTGAAATTAAAAAAAAAAAAAAAAAAAATAAAAGGTCCCCTTAGGTATATCAGAAGCATTTACATCCCTTTCATTGTAATATCATCCTGAAATTACTTTAACCCTAGTGTAACTTTCCCAGAAAATATTTTTACATAAATGATCTATGTTGCAACACATACCCATCTGTCAGGCGCAAAAAAGAAAAATAATAGGTATAGGTAAACTTCTATTTCTAGAATATTCCTCATATAAAATTAATGTAGTGCAACACATACACACAAGGCAGTAAAAAAAAAAAAAAGAACATTGAATTAGTGATTCAAATTCTGTTTCCAATTAAGTTGTTGTATACCCAGAGCAATTCCGCAGATTGCCGCATTATTACTTTTGATTTATTCCAGCATAATTAAGAAAAACTTATGTTATCAACTCCAATGGAAACCACAGTCTGAAAATTTAAACTAGAGAATAATCTAAGATAGTTTCTGACTAATGAATTGAAATACAATTCAGTATCAAAAGAAGCTGTGATTTAATAGTAGTATCCTTTAATTGTCCTACCTAATTTTGTATTCCAGGTATACATCCTGGTTAGAAAAAACCCAAAGTACTAAGACTCTAACAAAAGCAGTTTTAATTTTTTTTATATTGTAGATGTTTGACTGCCCATCATTCAGTAGTTATATTCATGGAACAATCTAGACCTCTAGCAGAAAAGACTCAAAACATACTATACTATGCTCCACTAAACTTGTTCTGAGTCTAAAATAATTACATTCTTCTCCATTTTCCTCATTCTGATACTTTAATTTCCTGATACGTTCCTCAATATGTTTTTTTTCCTAGTTTTACCTCCTGATGCTTAATCAAATCATCACTTTTTTTGCTGTGTATACCAAGTTGCATTTATCTAGCCCTCATATTCCCCAGATTGCAGTTATCTATCCCCCTTTCTGTTAACAACCTTGCAAGGATTACTGCAAATTTGTCACTTATAAAAGTAGATTTCTTTTTGCCATTAATTCTTCATCACCTGTTTGAGTCAGTCAAACCTTATTCTGAATTATTTCAAACACATTCTCATACTTGCTGAGTGATTATTAAAAATTCTGTCCTGACAGAGGCAACTTTAGATGGCAGTATAAGCATGACTTGGCATGAGAATTTTTGGGTGGTCCCAGAACCTGTACTGTCAGTACAGTGCCTGCCTGCACCTCAGTCTTAGAAATCAAATTAAATGTTGCTGGCCACTTAATCAAGCACCATGAATCCTGCTACAAAATCTAGTATTAAACTAGCCAGGAAAGGCTATAATTCTGTATTCAATTAATTTTTTTTTTCCAGAGAAGAGGAGATAAATGTAAAACTCACAGAGAGAGACTGCTATTTCACTGCGGAAATAATTAGATGGACCTTTCTTGACTTCTAGACTACAGAGTAAAATACTTCTTCCAGGTAATAGTGCCCTTTGTGCTGTTTTTAAGAGTCAGCGACTGATGCTTCCTCTTGCAAAGGCATACTTCCCTCTGTGATGAAATATTTACCACAAAGAGAGACCAGCAGTAGGACTATGAGTCTCCAATTAATTATTGTGGAAGTTCATGAGGGACTACAGTACATGTATAAATATTTTAAAAGATCAGGTTAGAGCAATGTCCATATCAGGCCGTCTTCCTGTAGATCAGGGTGCCTGATCTACATCAGATGCATGCCTACTTACCAACAAACAAAACCTCTACTTTACTTACTGCTCCTTTGCTACAGATCACTTGTTAAATTATCGCATTAATCATGCATATGAAGAGCTCTACTTTGCCTGGTGATTACTAAGGGCAAGCAAAACATAATTAAAGGAGCTACAATCTATTTTGTTTGTCCAGGGTATTGTTATTGTTTCCAGGGTTCACCCACAGGAAGGAAATTCACGTTTAATTCTCTTGACTGAGAGGTGTCTACGTTTATGGGTATCTTAACCACAGGGGAGTCGTCTGTGTCTGCTTTCGTGGAAAAAACAAACGACAGGGCATTTTGCCCCAGGTCTGCTATCAAGGGCATTTGGAGGGAGTGGAAGGGAGTTAGTAATGCTCTCCTAGGCTGGCTGCTGACCCAGGGCATAAGATCATGCTCCAAGAGGAAGGTTGGCCAGTCCTTGGCTTATATCTTAAGGAAATGGTCATCTTATATCTTAAGGATGGTCATTGACAGGGCTTTGGAGTTAAAGGCCACTTGCAGTTTTTTCACTTCTCTGTGAAGAACAACTCTAATTTGGGGCCCATCTACAGTTGGATTCCAAAACCTAGAGTCATGGAATTCCTCTGGTCTGCTGGCACCCTCAGTAGAATCCCTAAAGAGCCTAGGGTTTGCAGTCTTCTGTCTGCATGCTCATCCTGGCTACATCTTGTTTGTTGTATTAGAAAGAGCTGAGGGGGAAAAAACTTTGAAAAACCTGAAGCTGTGACTTTGTTGCTACATATTTGGAGAATCAGAATAATAATTTGCTTTATAATGAACTGTGATGATATAAACAAATACAGTTCTGGATGTGATCAGGAAACTAATTAATCAACAGTTTATCAAATATATGTCTAAAATTAAAGTATGAAACAAAGCAATTTTTATGCAACCCTCTGTGATTTGAGAACACATCTTTATAAGGTGTTACAAAAGCTTACAGCAGTTTAAGGTATGTCCGTGAAACAGATTAATTTCTAATAAGACTGACAAAAGTACATTTCAAGGAAAAGATATACATTGCTGAGTTTGAATACATTTCCTTTCCTCACAGCCCTGTTTTCAGTTTCTCCATCCTACTTCATACAGGCATGAGTTTATCTCAAGCTTAGACTCTGTATTCAGGATCATCTCAGGCAGACTTGTGTTTTGGGGTACATCGTAATACATTTGGATGCAGCACAGTTTCTCCTCAGCCATGATGAAGCCTGAATTCAGTTCCCTTCAACCCCTATATGGGAACTGTGTGATTTTGTGAAAGGTTCGTGGTGGAGCACTCCACTCCCTGGGGCAGCAGAACCCAGGAGAAGCTGAGTTTAACTTCAGCAAGGCTTTGTTAGCCATTAGATGTCTTAATGGGCAGCATTGAGAAGTAACAGGGGCTCATTAGGCTTCCTGAGATCTCACATGTGTAGGGAGAGGAAACTGCTGGGGTTTTCTAAGACTCCTTGCCGTCAGGCCACAAAAGGGCTGTTTATACTCACAGGATCTTTCAGTATGACCCTTTTTTACAGTTTAAAGATGCTTCACACAATTGGTTATTTCTGGTGGGTAACAGTCCCTTTGTTTCAGCAAGGAGAGGAGTAGTAACCTGGTACTGGAGCTTTTGTAAACTGCTCTCTTTAGGGTTGAGGATTAGCACTCCCGTCTCACCTCTGCTTGAAGGACTCCCAGGGTCAACAACAGTGCAACTATTGTTGACAAAACATCTAGAACCTTTAAGAAGGCTCATGAAGCAGGGCAGGTAAGCAGTATAGGGCTTTTCTTTTGCCCAAAGAAAACACAAACTGCACTGTAACTTCTCCAATGAAGGGTAGCACTGTATCTTCACATGCACTTGTGCAGCCTTGGACAAGCAACCTCCAGCTGCTATGTCGATCAGGTCTTCTGTAAGCCATACCCAGTAGATATTGAGAAGGCTAATAGCTCCTGCCTGTGTTATATGGAAGAGATGAGATTTGTTTATTTATTTTTAGAATGGAAATCAGCCTCAGTTTTGGCATAAAACTGAGATTTTTTTAACATATAAAACAGGTTGCAACAATGTCCATGGCAGGCAAACAAACTTCTTTTTCGTATTTAGCAGATGTACCCCTTGCCTCAAAGTTCAGACTTGCACACATTTTAGTCAATGGACACCAGTCAAGACATACCCTCTTCATAGGCAGTGCATTGAAAGACAGACTTCAGTTTTGGATCATATTAAAGAAGATGGGACAAGCATTAGGTTTTTATTTCCTTGGATGTGTAGAGATATGTTTCAAGTGTACTGATCTTGTAATTGTGATGATTGTTTTCAGTAAATCTGACTGAGTGGGGGACAAATGAAAAATACATTTCAGGCAGCATCTTATTTTACAAACTTAAAAACTACATACCTACATGAAACAAACACCTTTAGCAGGTTAATTTCTAGTGAAATGAATAACTACCAGCATACATCAAACAGGTCATTAAGCCACCTGTGACTGGCTTGGCTGAGAAAAAGAAAAGCTTTCCTGTGAATTATGATTATAACAATATCAGAATAATAATTACCTTTTCTCCACAACAACATGCACACAGCAGTGTGAAAAACCCACTTCTTAACATGTCTGTCATAATTTACCTTTTCAACCCTATCAAATATTCAGGACAGTATATGACTGCTACAAACTGAACATGTTCATGACCATTTAAAACTGTTTTGACTTCAGTAGTACCCAGAGATCCTATGTAGAGCTGGGATGATAAACATAGTCCAAGATGTGGCCAAGGGCTGAGGAACTGTTGTTTCAATGCTTCATGCTCTTGCTTCTTGACAGGGTCTTTAATAAAGCTATGTCTCCCAGGATGGACCACAGTATTGTAAGCCACAAAAGTTCACAGTAGGGGAATGAGCCAGAGTGAGAAACCCTGGGGGGATCTGAGAGAGTTTTTCTCATCTTTTTTTTTCTTTTTTTTCTTCTATTTACTGAATATTGTAATATTCAGTACAATGTTCCTGTATTAAACAAAAAGGATTGCAATTCTCCCTTCCCCCTTCCCTTCCCTTCCCCCCTGCCCTTTTTTTTTCCACAGAAATAATGTTGGGAATTTTTCCAAATATGCCTACATGGGTTAAAAGTCTCCAGTTAACATACCCTGTTTTCAACTGTAATTATTTTTATCTGTAGCATGTGCCACAAATATATTCCTTAAATAAAAATCAGAAAGTAGAGGGATCTGCAAAACAATGTATGATGTCCTTTAAAAATTCAGAAGAGTGAGCACAGTATTTGGCCGTAAGAAAGAGATGGGCCAGAGTTCTTCATCTTTATGAGTTTGCAGAGAAAAATAAAAGGAAATGCTTGCACTTGCAAGCATTTAGAGGATACAGGAGTCAAATCCTCCAGCAAATGAGATACACTGACAGAAAAACAGAGAATTCCCTTAGGTCTTACCTAGATCTTTCATCTGGAGATGTCAAACTATTTCTTAAGGCTTTAAGAACTGCTTTCATACTGACATCTGGGACAGTTACTCCTTAAAATTACTTCTAGAAATATTTTGGCACAAAACATCACAGAAGTTAGGTTTATAAATCTGGAGGTGATAGTGTTGTTTTAATTAGAGGAATGACAACATTCTGCATAAAAAACTGATTGTCTGAAAAGTAAAATTGTATATGACCAAAACTATTCACAAACTTTAGATAAATTCAGAAAATTCTTTTTACACAAAGCTTTAATAATGATACACAGGGGACAGTATAGCTGAGGAAGCACATGTAGAAAATAACTGTTTATTATTCAGTTGAACAGCTTGAAAATGTGGAATAAGCTCAGACAATGAAAACATACTTCCTAGCAGAAAGGGGAACATGGATGAAATAGCTGCATGACTCAAGTAAAAATAAAGGCAAAGCAGAAAGTTGAGTGCATATTTAGCAACTCTACTTCAAACCCAAGTACCTAAAGCTGACAGCTCAGAAGATGGGTATATATGCCATGGTATGAAATACTGTGAGATGTACAAGATGTTTTTGTGATTAATGAAGATAATTTAAGAACCATTCAAATGCTTTAACTCAAAGAGAGTTAAAACTGTATGGCTGTCTGGTTTAATTGTTGTATAAGATGGGATTGGGTTAAAGAAATTATGCATGCAAAATAAAGACATAATATGCCTTGAATTTTATTTTTATGTGTCAGAGTTACAAATGAGTTTCAGAGTAACCACAGATCATGCCATTTGTAAGAGGATTTAGGAGAAGCACAGTGACTGTGCTGTGGAAGCACAATTGCAGCAGACTTCCTCTTGGGATTACTTTTGAAGTTTTAACTGGTAAACATAGATATATTTCAATAGGTTTTGGGTTTTTTTCTACATGTATCACAGATTCTTGAACTGACAGGTTAAGAGGAAGTATTCTAGTAATCTACCCTGATTTACAGGAAAGATTAAGAGCAAATGTCAGTACTTTAACTGGACATGATAGAAACATAGGAGGCTGCACTGGATTTAGAGTAGGTTTGGGGACAACAATGAAAGATGTAGCACTATGAAAACAGTGGTGTTACATAAAATTTCTTATTTTCCTATTCTGAATAGGAATTTATTAGGTGTGCTCTCAGTGTTTGTGTGAGAATTCCCAACAGGCAGAAGAGCAGGTGCCTCCACTGTGGTTTGAAGAGAAGCAGTGGCACTGAACCAACAGATAAGAAACACAAAGGACAGTGGGAACAAACTGAAATGAGAAAGTTTCATACTGCCCATGAGGGTAGCCAGGGAGGGTCATGGACTTATTGTGCAGTCTTGCAGCAGGATGTAGGGCTGAGTGTACACCTTCCCACCTGATTTATACTGGGATAACAAACATGGATATCACAGGTTCATAGATGTTGCTAAAAAACCCCAACAACAACAACAACAAAAATATAAAACAAACAAACAAATATCCCAAACAAAAACTAACTAAAAAAACCCACAAAAAGCAAAATAGAAGAAGTCTTTTATTTAATACTGCAGTGCTCTGTAGAAAACTAGAAAGATGTTGGTGTGGAAGGTGCAGACAAATATCTGTACAACAGCTGTTATATATCATATATGAGAGATAACCAAAAGAAGTTAAATTGCTCTCTCAGCAAGAGATCAGTGAAAACAAAAGAGATATGGATGAAAAACAGGCTCTGAACTTGCATTGATTAGAACTTCACAAGTTTAGTCAGAATGAACTAATGTTAAAAAGTCACCTTGGTCAAGTGAAATGATTAAGTGGAAACATTTTTAAAGGGAGCAAAATGCTTGCTAAAAGGATATGACAGTCTGACAGAAAATAAGCATCTGGTAGCCAACTGAAATGAGAGCAGCTACACAGAAAAAAAAAGAGGAAAAGAAATGGAATATTTTAGTTTGGTTTCAATACAAGAGATAAATCACAGGGATCAGGTTGGTCTTGTGGCAACTTGTTCTACAATTGTATTACAAAAGGTGCTTAAGCACCCTATAATTTGAGCCCTTCTGTTCTTATAACAACACTAGAGGAAGGGAACTTAAGCTAATGTTTTAAAAACTCTTTGAGAACTTTAGTATTTCATTGTTTTATTATGACAGACACAGTCTTCATAAAATGGAAATTTTCCCTAAATGAATCAGAAAACGATATGTGAGGTTTTCTCACCTGATCAAACTCAAGGGGCATCCTTTAAGTTAGATGGGTGAAGAACATTCATTACACTTGTTGCCAGAATAGGATCGCATCCACCAAGGAGAGCTTGGACCTGGCAGTATAGACTATGATTCACAGAGTTCTCCAGTCCTGTTGGAGAAAAGGGATCTGTGCTGAACATACACTCATCCCTCCCAAAAGTTCTTGTCCTATTGAGTGAAATGAGAGAAGTTTGCAAATGACAAAATATTTTGACTCGCTTGGCAATGTCATACTTCATTTTGACATTTCAGAGGCACGTCTATGAAACTGAATCCTTTTGTGAATCATTTGAAAATGTGGATTTTTCATTTTAATTCTGGATGCAAACAAACAGTGAAATACTGGAATTATCCATGAGGTGAAAACTGATTTTGGCCAGTTCTATTTGGTAATCAGTTTAGTCACTGAATGGATTTTAATGATTTACAAACTTTCCAAGATATGTCAGATATTTTTTTCTTTCTCAAGAAATTGTGAAATGACCTTGAGCATGGTAAAATGGAAGAATGTCTCTAATCTTAGACTGACCTGCAATGACCCTGTCTAACTTTGGTACCTTTTGCTTTCTTTTCCCTGTGTAAGCATATTATATCTTGCTTAGTGGGAGCTGCGAAGCGCAGCTGCTTATAAAATGTATTTTTTAGACCACAAATTATGATATACATAACAGAGTAAGGTTTACATATAGCCTGCCTTATCCGCAGCTAAGCAAGTGCATTTAGATACTTATCTAGAGCCTAGTATAGAATTTATCAGTTCGTCACTTTTCTGGATTTCGGTCCCTTTCCTAGAGTGATTTCTTCCCTTACTGTCAGACCAGACCTCTTCTAGAGATAAGGAAGGAATCCTGGATGAAATTATCATATTTAATGTGCATTTTGCCCTCTTCATTATCAACATTAAAATCTCAGGCAGTGCATTTGCTGAAACGTTTCCTGGGTTGTCAGGAATGTATCTCCTTACACATTTGGCCTGCAGTTTCTATGATCTTCACTGGGCATGAAGCCAGTGTGTGCCCAGGCTAAGTTTCCTCAGCATAAATAACATCATATATTGATCTTTCTTGAAAGTTCACATCAAGGTTGGAAGTCTTGCAAGTTGGTATACAATGTCAGTGAACTCTGAAAACTGAAGCTGAGGATCTTGCTGCGAATAATGACAAGCCTAGACATGATCAATAGCCGTGTTCCAAGATGTCTGTGCACAGCTGGTGGCAAAATAGGCACACTTTATTTCCTCATATATCTGTTTAATTTTAAACCATGATGGGCATACATGTACAGATCAGATTTTGAATTTCATGCTGCATGTAGTGATTACAGATGATCACCTGAGTGGGTCTCAGAAAAAGAATAGGGAATAGGAAAGCACTTGATTACTTAGCCTAGATCTTCTGTAGCACAACAAAGGTCAGCAGAAAATTCACATCTGTTTTCTATAGGCTGCTCTGGATTTTGCTTCTATTGTTGAATAGCAGAAACATTCATTTAAAACTGGTCTAACATTGTGCAAGTATAAAAGTACACAAAAAGAATGAGAGTCAGGGGAAAGCTTCAATAAACATTTTTATCTTTGTAGAATGGTTTCTCACATTTTTAACCTGTTCTAGAAATGTATATGTAAATTTAATAGGAAAAAAGCCCATATGGCAGAAGGAGATTGAAAATAGGTCCTGGCAGAAAACACAAAAAATCTTGTGGATTTTTTCACAGAATTGTGAAAAAATGAAACAATCTCTTTTTGCAGAACAGCTCTAAGATTACGATGCGCTATGGTTGTGTTGATAAGACCATGATCAAAGTAATGACTTAAAACTCAGTGAGATGTGTTGGATTTTGGTTTTTGTGGTTTTTTTTTTTTTTTTTTTTTTTTCAGGATAGCTATTAATGGAAGAAGTCCCAAAGACAAGTGCTCGTTGACCAAAGGCAGGCTAATTCGCAAAGATCAATGGTCCGACAGCCCTCATCTATCATCTTGGACATGTGTGCATGGTAATCAGTGGTCATCCATCTCTTTCCTGTATGTCGATTAATCTTTTAAATTTTGTAGGCTTTCTACCCTGGTGTAGTGCTTCTTATAACCTGCACAAGCTTTTCTTTTCAAATAAAATTAAAAAAAAAAGACGAAACTATCTAAACTGTGTATGATGTAGTTCTTCAAAGTCTAAAGGGAATAACTCTTTGAGGTGTGATGTTAGCTCATGGCCATTTCTTGCTCATGTTTTGAGGCCATACAGTTTTAAATGTCTTTACCTGTAATCATTTTAAGCTCAGTTAAATAACAGAATTTTAGAACTGAGTTTATGGTTTATGAAAATGAACAAATTAATCTTGTAGAATAGCATAAAGAGCCAGTGTTGCAGATGGGATTGGTGCAATCTTGAACTTGCAGTAAGATCTGTATCTTACAGAGGAAGAAATATTATATGTAATCTGTCTGAAATAGGAGAAGGAATTATGTTAAATGCATGTACCTCTGGACGTTTAACTTGGGAATAGAACTTACCATCCTCCTGGTAATGTTAGATCTCTATTTTGATCAGATGAACCTAATCAAATATCCTTCAAGACAGACCTTTTGCTAGATGGAATAAATGGCCACCTGACAGTTTATAAGATATCTTGACGAGAAAAGAACAAGAGTTGTCCTTGGAATATTCCTCAGCGTGCAAAATACTTAGAGAAAGGTAGTGTCTTGCTGATAATACAACCTATGCAATCTTAATTGAAAGACTTCTCAGCTGGAAAAAAGTAGAATATACTTATTTAAATTATCATCTTGCATAAGGCAAACAATTCCTCCTACTCTTGTTTATTTGTTTTGTTTTTGTAAAAAAAGAATTTCATCAAAACCTGTAATATCAGCAGAAGATTCTAAAATTAGATAAAAATTAACCTTCTTTATTATTCGTCTCATTTTCACTAGTTTCTCTCTGACATATCTTACTGTGTTCTAGTGCATCAGGTTTTTGTGAGAACAACCTGTTCCTATTGTGTTTTTGTAAACACTCTGCTTAATGCAGGGTGAAGATGGATGGAATAATATATTGTATGTTGATAAAAAAATTGTAATCACAATTTACTAAGTTGTTTACATATGTCTACCATTTTTATAGTACTATATTACTACATTATTGTATATAGATTTTGATTTTTAAAAAGTTAAGTTCTTCAAGAGAAAATTGTGGAAATTTATCCCAGGAATATTGACCACAGTTGACTGAGTTCTGTTATAAAAAAATGGAAGCAAAAAAATTAATGTTGAAAATATGTGAACAGATATTTCCTGTAGGTATTCTTTAGTACCTAAAGTCAGATGTGTCCCTAGTGATTAGTATGACTGCAAAATGCAGACAGTAGGCTGATGTTATTCATCCAACAAATTTTTATCACTTTCTGAACTAAACTCTTCACATAACTCAGGAGTAAGCTAATGCATAACTAAAAAAAAACCAAAAAAAGCCACAAAAAAATAAGCCTCATATCTTGGTTAGCATCTCACAGGAAGACTGGCAAAACAAAGAACCCAAATCTTCCACATCTTGGTTCTGTTCCATAATAATTTTCACAGAAGACAAGTGTCACTATGCAACTGCCATTCAAGATAAGTGGAGTCTGCATTTCGTTTTGACTCTGGGGTGTCGATGTGCTGATTAGTTTTCTGATACAGCTTGGTTGTCAACATTTAAAACATTTCTTGGAAGAAGAAAAATAATTTTGAACAGAAGGCATTCTGTTATACCTATATTTATACATATTTCCCTGCACCCTCAAAACCCAGTTATAAAGCAACTTATTGGAAGAGCTGTCACCATCACCTTGGAAACTGGTCCATTGACAGCATGTTTCAATCAGTCGTCTCTCACAAGTATATAGCTTCTTTTTTTTTTTTTTTTTAACATGTTTGAATACTTTGAATGCTTACCCTGAAAAAGGAAAAAAACAGGCTAAATTCAGGATCGACATTTTGGAGGGTGACATCTCTCATCAAACAGAAGAGCTGACTTTTTTTTTTTTTTTTAAACTGATGTAGGTCACAAATTTGTAATCAGGGTGCTTGCATGAGAAGGAGAAGTTCCAGTCTGTGCTTCATGGGCTGCTTCAGTTTCACGTGAAACAGTCATTGATGATGAACCTATCTACCTGGTATCTACCTGTCAAGGCACTTTTATTGTCTCCATTTTTACCGCAGTATGGGAGAGTACCTTCTTTCCAGAATAGTGGGTAGCTTTAACATTCTCTTGGGAGACATGTAGCTGCAAATCCCTTTAGGATGAGGAATACAAGGAAAGTGGCTCTTCTGCCTTTTTGAAAAGTGATCTGTTTATGTAAAAGGGTAAGGCCATGTCCTACAGTAGCTGTGCTCTCCAAGGGAGAAAAGAAGCTGGTTGTTTTGTCTTCATAAGGGAAGAACTAAAACTCTGATTTGGAGAGAGCAGGTTGTCTTGTTTGCGCTGCACAGAGCATTTGGTACCTGAGAAAGCATGGTGTTTTAAGACCTGCCCACATCAGTCTTGTTACACTGGATACTCACATCTGGGATACCCAGGGGAGATCCCCAAGTACCTGTCTCAGCATTACAATTTCTTTCTGGAACTTTGACTCTCCAGACTGATTATTTCAGTGCTCGTCATTGAAGACTAAACCCCATTTTGGAATTGGGCTTTAATCAATCAATACTTGTGGATACAAGGCCTGATCTAAGATCAGGACCACCAAATACTGGTTACAGGTTTTTGCTTATGGATAAGTAAAATGATGTGTTAGAAGGGCATCCAGAAGAAAAATACATAAAGACATAACCTTTCTTGCTAAAATTTCCAAACTTTTTCCATTGAAATAGTACTGAAATAGTACTGAAAGTGGTTTAAGGCCTATTATGAGCGAAATGCATGTTCTGTGTATTTTTCTGGGGATATCACTAACATGAGTTATTTCTGAATTTACTATTCTTTCTTGTATAAGTAGCACCCAAAATGCCTTACAGAAAGAAGATTAAAGGAAATATATACGTTTGTCTTTTCTAATTTCACTAGTGTGTCTTGGCAGTGCTTTTGCATGGTCAGATTTAGTTTTCACTACAAAATCAATTACTTGATTTCTTCTTTTGTGTGCTGGTCTTTTAAAAAGCAGCAGGGGACAGATGAAGATTTTAAAATATGATTTTAAATCCAGAGAAATTGTCAGGGGGACTCAGCAACAGGTAAGACTTTCACAACTGCTTTAAACTTTGTGTTAGATCTGGCTCTTTTTCAGCTTCATGGCATCTGCGGGCAGATCCTTGACTGAGGCTCCTCTCTGTGGCTTGGGGGACTCACTGTCTTCATTGCCTATGCAGCTCAAACAATTGCACCTATATATGAAAATTGGACTGGAAGTCAGCTTGAAGAAAACAGAAGTTTTATATCAGCCTGCACCTCAGGAAGTCTCCCATCATCCCCATATCACCATTGGCAAATCAGAGCTCAAATCAGTCCAGTAGTTTAATTACCTGGGAAGCATCATCTCCTCAGATGGTAAGATTGATGCAGAAATAGACAACAGGTTAGCTAAGGCATGCAGAGCCTTTGGTAAAATCCATAAAAGAGTGTGGCAAAACAAACACCTGAAGAAAAGTACTAAGATCAGTGTTTACAGAGCCATTGTACTGTCTACTCTTTTATATGGATCCAAATAATGGGTCATTTACTGGCACCACTTGCGTCTCTTAGAACGCTTCCATCAGCGCTGCCTCCATACAATCCCAAACATCCACTGGACTGACTGTGTGACCAACACGTCTGTCCTTGAACAGGCAGCAGTCACGAGCATTGAGGCCATGCTGCTGGGAACACAGCTGCGCTGGGCAGGGCACATCTCCAGGATGCAGGACTACCGCCTCCCTAAGATCGTGATCTGTGGGGAACTTGCCACTGGTTGCCGCAAGAGAGGAGCCCCGAAGAGGAGATACAAGGACTGTCTGAAACAATCCCTCAGCCTTGGCCATATTGATCACCACCATTGGTCTACCCTGGCCTCCAATCGGGAGGCCTGGAGACAGACACACCATCTATAACGCTGCTGCTGCTTTTGAGAACACACGCAGGATCACTCTCGAGGAGAAAAGACAAGGCAGAAAGAATCACGTCTCGCCGATATCACCTGGGGAGTCTTTCTGCTGTACCTTCTGCAACTGGACTTGTCTATCTCGCATTGGCCTTTTTAGCCATCAGCGCGCTTGTAGGAAGCGTGGGTAGAGCCCTTCTCAAATCTTCGTTTGCAAAGCCTAGCCATGATGACATGACTCCAACACACTCTCTGTGAAGCCATGGGGCCCAACCTACTTCCAGAGCACACTGTCAGCTTCTGTTCTGCCAGGTGTTTCCAGTGGCTTTCTTGGAAACCTCCCTCAGATAAGGTGAGCTGTGAAAGTGTTGGTGAATTTAAGCAACCTCAATGTGCTCCAGGGTACACATGTCCTCCTTCTAGGGTGGTTGTTCTCAAAGGAGTGGTTAAACTCCTTATGGATTCAACCACCTATGCTACTCTTTGGGATGACAGGTCACACAGAAATGGGGTCACCGTTGGAAATCACTTGAGGTGCTGTGCTAGAGTGTTAGGTTCCTTCTTTGCAGGTCAGGAGCTCTATGAGATGCGGTGCTTCACCCAAAATCAGGAATCCCAAATCGTGGTCCCATAAGGTCCTTGCAATGCAGAGGTAGTGCAGCCCTGAACCAGGGTCTTCCAGGTGCCCTCACTGAGGTGAGAAAGCAGAGTCCTCTTAGAATGGTGCAAAGAAAGGAGCTAGTTCTTGCTGGTTGGAAAAGAGAACACAATGCACTTGTCCTGCTCAGGGATCCCAAGAAATTGAAAAGTTCACTATCCTACTCCCTTTCCTCACCAGCCACTGAAAGACAACATCCTTCAGATCCTCATCCTGCCATCCAGCAGAACAGGAATTAGCAGATAGCAAGTTTCCCTGACCTCCAAAGCAGTCAGTCTCTGGATACAGTACTCCTTTAAGAGTTTTACTAAATCTGCACGTGAGCTCAATCTGCCCATAGAAGAATTTCCATTTGTGCAGATGGTATCATTTGGCAG